AAGTGTATTGCTGAGCAAACATGCACACAAGGTATTCCTGTTATATCCCACTGTCTACAAGTGCAAGTATTATTCCTCAAATCCCCACAATCTGATCATCTTGTAGAGCAACCTGAAACCATCACCAACTGCAGGCTTTGTGACACAGACTCTTGACAAATATTTATTCTGTTCTACCTTTGATCTAATTCTAGGACAAAGCTTGTCATGATATCCGCTCAACTCTATGAATTTCCCATGTTGTCCATTCATTAGTTCACTCCTTACAAATTCAAACATCTCAATGATGTGATATCCTCTTCCCTTAACTATAAACCCATTGAAAGTCTCACTAACATTATTTTCAATCATATCACACCTAGGAAGATGAGAGACAAATGCCTTACAAAACTTTGAAGGATCTCTGTCGATAAAGTCCTCATAAGCTGCTTTACATTCTGCCTTCAAGTCCTCCAAAGCAATGTTGTAGTCTCCCAAGTGAGTGCTTAGAACAATCCTCCAGAACAAATTTTTCAAAGTTTGGCCCTTGAATCCCTTCTTCCAGTTCATGTAAACATGTCGAGCACAATTTCTGTGCTCAGCATTTGGGACCAAGTTGTTGAGATCAATGAAGATCTCGTTATGCACAAATCACGAATTCAATAGCAAAACGTAAACCTATGCGAAGCGGATCTAAAGGTTTGCGTAGAGAACTTACAACTTAAAATTTATGGCGATCTGGCTGATCTTCTGGATGGCGGTACACAGCACACCAATGAATTGTTGACTGCAAATCGCATCCTAGGATTGCACGAACAAGAACGGATCGAAAACCGAATCAAACGAGTGCAAAACGGATGAAGACAAGTTGCAGTCCTGGGACCTTGCGGCGGCGCGTGCGGGCGCGTGGGTGGTCGGATGGCTGCAATCTCGGCGGCGTTGGAAAGCTCTCGTCGAGATGGTCATCTAGGTATGCTGCACGTATTGATCGGACCTCCGGTTAGTTCTGTGCGACAAAACATATTTCGTCTCACTTTACCCAGAAATCTTCTACTGTATATCTCAAACACCTCTTAATCTTGTACCAGCGGAACAACAAGAAGAAGATAAAGCTCGAACGAAAACTGAGAGAGAGAGAAGAGAGGCGTGGGGCGTGATTTCCAAGATGTGGAATTCTCTCCCCTTCCCATGAGCTTAATGATGTATATATAGAGATACAGTAGGATCCTTAGGAGATTAGGATTAGGGCTCCTTAATTAACTAAAATACTTGTGGACCAAGCCACTTATTTTAATTAATTAAATAATATTAAATGGACCACCAACATAATATTATTGCACTCCATTTTCCTAGCCCAATTTATAATTAAGACTCCAATAATAATTACTCGATTTATCTCCTCATGTTTAAGATATAATGTCCATTAATTAATTCGATTACTGACAATCAAGAATTAATTAATTTATTATTATTTTACCGAAGCTAGCGCTTGTTCATCACATTATTACTATGCCGGAATTTAATCCACCTGCACGGTTTAGCATAATAATCCTTCATAAACTCACTCCGGGGACATCATCAAACTAACGCACATGGTGACCGTAAATATCCTAACAACACATCCTACATGTAGCAATATTACCAAGACAGCGGGTCTATTGGCCCAGTTCACTAAGCATCACCCATGTGAATCAAAATAATAAATACTACACATATATGTTTGTTTAATATCTTACGGGTTAAGAGTACGCAGTAACTAACTGAGGCCTAGTTCGTTTACGACGATCAGTATAAAACGAACTGCTCCTCTCTGGGATCTTGTTCAATACATAAATGTACTAGTACAACTAATCAGTCAAGACAAACTGTACAGTTGACACTACAACCGTTTGCGATGGGGTGTTCATGTCCATCTGGGTTGTGAACCACTTATTCTTGTTTCGCGAGTAATTGATAGCATGGTCTTCGGTTCGTTCGATGACGACCCACACTATCTAATGTAAAACAACAGAACGTAGAACTTGTTTAATCTAACATGTTTCTTATTCATAAAGGGTAAAAGTGTAATATCATCCAAAGCCAAGCTTTCAGTATATAACACTAACACAAGTCCCTCAGAGCATTCAACAAACTCATAAAGAAAAAATAATTTAGAACATGCTAATTTTTTTTAAATTAAGAACAAAAATTAACAAAATTGCACACAATAGTCACCTTTTGTTGGTCTGAAATGAAAGTATATCCTAAGCCATCCCTTATACCCAGTTCTGTAAACAAAATAGAGATAAACCACTTCCAAGACTCTTCGTTTTCAGCCTCAGCCACAGCCCAAGCCACTGGATAAATTTGATTGTTACCATCTTTGGCAGTGGCACATAACAAGGCTCCTCCTAAGAAAGTTTCCAAAAAGCATCCATCAAGTCCAAGGATGGGTCTGCAGCCATTGATGAATCCCTTTCTTAGAGCATTAAAACCCACATAAAAGCCTCTGAGTGTGGTATTTTCCCAAAGTAAGAACTCAAACATTCCCTCTCTATCGATCCTAATCAACTCAGCCATATAACTCCTCAGAAATGAGTAATGTTCTATGACAGAACATCTGAGCATTTCAAGTGCTTTCCACTTGGCTCTATAAAGCTTTCGCTTTATAGGTACAACTGCAAACTTTTCAAAAATTGCCTCTTCCAATTTTGCAACTGTCATGTTTGGATTCATTCTGAATTTTTCACCAAACTCTTCAGCAATCCACTGAGCATTTAATTATTTAGTGTGCACATTCCTATGACAGACATGCTCTTTATGCAGTTGTTTTATAGCCACACTACCTTCTTTTTCAATCACACTGGCATAAAGCCTTCAAGGGCAGCCATTTTGACATCTAACTTCCAATTGCCTTCTGATACACCTTATATTCTGAATATCTCTACCTTGCACAATTGCCACCCTTCTCACAACTTTCTTGCACTGTTCAATGCTTTCAGACCTCATGCCAAGTTGAAAGTCAAGTGCATTATGATCACACTTGGGATCATACAATAACATTGTCCTCCTTTTAACAAAATTCCCTTCCAAATCCATTTCTCTGTCACTATCTGACTTATCAGAGATTAGTGCATTATGTAACAATTCATCTTCTTCAAAGTCCATCCCAACTGTGGCTAATGGATGTGTATGGTCTGCATCATCATCACAATCTTGAACTTTCTTCTTAGACTCATTCAAGTTCTTTCTTGCCTGAACATATTCCTCATCATCAGAAATAAGATCATCAGACATGTCATCATCTGATGAACTCACCCTATTTGGAAAATAATCTTCATCCTCAAATGACTCTTGTGACCCCAACCTAGCACATGCACTATTAGTTTCTGCATTACCTTCACCATGTTCGACAGAAGTGAAATTGTCTATAATATCATTAATATCATCCAACTGGTCTGCAGGCTCATTCTGAATTGATGCCCCAGCCTGACTAAAACCATTCACCTCTTCCCTATGATCTTCATCTTGTTGGCCATCAGAGTTTGTCTGACTCAAACCATTCACCTCTTCTCCATCATCTTCATCTTGTTGGCTATCAGATTATGTCTGACTCAAACCATTCACCTCTTCCCTATCCTCAGCATTATCATCTGTTTCATCATCAATGATGTCACCACCAACCACATAAATCTGAATTACAGTTCTCTTATTCTTACCATAACTAATAATCTCCATAACCCCTTTGTCATCAGTTACATCTTTCAAACTATCAGCTCCAACACCAGCATCAGGTATTCTATACACATTTTTTTCATACTTCTTAACTCCCAACTTCTGAATTTTTTCTTGTAGGTCAAAATAGCCAAACCTACCCGCATCTAACCCATAAATACTCTTCAAAGTACCACTTAGATACTCCACAATAGGTCCACATTTCACAAAAATAACCTCCAAAATTGACAACCAATGCAAATTTGTCTCTGCAATTAATTAAACATAGAAAAAAGCATCAGACTCAGTAATCTAGTCATAACCTGATTCTATCATAACCCTAATGTCGAAATGAATTTACAATAACAAAAAACCGTAAACATTTCGAAATTGTTCGAAACCCTAATTTCAAAATAAATGTACAATAAAAAAATGTAAGCAATTAGAAATTGTTCGAAACCCTAATTTCAAAATAAAACCTTAATTTGAAGAAGAACCCTAAATTCATAAACATATTTTAAATCTTCCGAAACCCTAGGTCAAAATCTACAGTAATATTTAACAAAACGGTCATTACTAATATGTAATTAACACTGAATTAAAAATTCACAAACAAGAAAATGTTCCCAGATCCTTAAGTTCGAATCGAACGACAATTTTCATATTCAGAATTTCGACAACAACAAATAAAAAATGACGGATTGACATACCTGTTGGTCATAGTCGCTTCAATGGGACCGCAATTTGTGAGCTTCGACAACAAGATTGTGAGCTTCGACGATAATGGGACCACAACGTTTTGAGAGAACGAAAAAAAAATGTCTAAGTCTGAAAAGTGAAATTAGGTTTTCTTAATTTGGGGGAAAATGAGGGTTTTATACTGCCTTTACCACGTCACAACACTAAGAAGTAAGTTAGTCCACGTAGGTAGAGCTTAACAGACACGCTGGCAAAAGTAAGACGGCCGTTTCAATTTGGGTTCGGGTTGCAAACATGGGACAATGTTAGGTTATTCTTGCTAAATCCCAAAAGTTTGGTTAAAACGGCAAAAAGTTGTAAGATCGTGATTTTACCGGCAATTAGGCCAAAATTAAAAAGGTGTTGTATTGAGATATTTATGGATATTTAGTAAAAAAATTTAATTATGCTATTTTTAATATATAATTAATGATTTTGGCGGGAAATTGTTTCTAAATTTGTAAAGAAGTTATTCTTTATAATGATAGATGTGTTATTTTATTTTTTTATAAAAGTCTATCCGAAAAAAAAATTACAACCACTACCGGAAGGCGGAAAGTTCTATGGACTCACCACAACCGCCACACTAAATGAAAGTCCGCCGCCACGTTCTCCCTCTAGCCACCGTCGTCGGCCATCGTCTAAGGCCCCTCTCGACTCCACCAGCCTTCTCAATTCCAATTCCCCATCTTCTGAAACCAAGCCCCCCGCAGCCACCTACGCTGCCCCCTCAAAGCCCTACCTCCGCCTCACCGGAATTCATTCACATTTCTAAGATTCTTTCCAACCCGTCCCTGCGACCCGGCTCGGAACTCGAAGAGGCTTTAGCTGCTTCACTTATAAATCCTAGCCCCAATATTTTGCTCGAGATTTTTCACCATTTTAATTCCACTCCAAAACCCTTGTTCACGCTTTTCAATTGGGCCCGTAATCGGCCCGATTACCAATTCTCCATTGCGGTCTTCAATGCCGTGGTTAATTCTTTAGCGAGAGCTCGACGGTTCGACTCAGCTTGGACCCTAATCCTCGGTCAAATCAATGGAGACCCGAACAAGAGGCCCGATCTCGACACGTTTCGTATCATGGTCAGGAGATATACGCGTGCAGGTACTCTTTCTGGAATTGTATATTAGATTTCAATCGCATTACTAGCAAAACAATATTTTTTGGCAGGTCTTGTAGGGACATTGTTAAAATTCAGTATGTCATATTGGTTCTGTTTTTGGTCCGTAATCTTGCATTTGCTTTGCATATGTTTCTTTGCGGGCACAGGTCTCACTTCAGCAGCCATTCGAACATTTGTATACGCGTGTAATCTTGAGCTCTTTCGAGATTTATCAGCCGCGGAAAATAATTTACTCCAGACCCTATTAGACTCTTTATGCAAAGAAGGGAACGTTCGGGTAGCCGCACGCTATTGTGAAAAGTACAAGGCGACAAGAAATCCAAACTGGTCACCATCTATTGAAATATACAACATACTACTAAATGGATGGTTCAGATCAAGAAAACTTAAAAATGCCGAGCGTCTGTGGAAGCAGATGAAAGTCGAAAAAGTAAAACCAACAGTGGTAACATACGGAACCTTAGTTGAAGGCTTGTGTCAAGCGGGCCGTGTTGACATGGCAATGGAGTTATTGAATGAAATGAAAACAGAAGGAGTTAAACCGAATGCGATTGTGTACAATTCAATAATCGACGCATTAGGAGAAGCTGGGAGGTTCAAAGAGGCTCTTGGAATGCTAGAGAGATTCTCGATTCTGGAAGTTGGCCCCACCATATCCACTTATAATTCTCTGGTGAAGGGTTTCTGCAGATGGGGGGATATGGCGGGGGCCAGCCAGGTGGTTAAAATGATGATTGGCGACAAGTTCTTGCCGAGCGCCACAACTTATAGCTACTTCTTCAAGCACTTTGCAAGATTCGGGAAAACTGAAGAGGGCCTGAATTTATACAGTAAATTGATCAAATCTGGTTATGAGCTCGATCGGCTCACGTACCATCTTCTAATAAAAATGCTGTGCGAAGAAGGGAAATTGGACTTAACAGCATGGATTATAAAGGAGATGCGGGCCCACGGGCTTGACTTGGATTTAGCCACAAGTACCATGTTGATCCACTTATTGTGGAAAATGCATAGATATGATGAGGCCGTTTTTGAGTTTGAGGACATGTTCCGCAGGGGGATTGTTCCCCAGCATCTGACATACGTGAGAATGTGCAAAGATTTAGAGAGACTCGGAATGATGCAGATAGCGAAAAAGATCCGTAATCTGATGGACTCGGTCCCACACTCGACAAAGGTGCCTAAGACATATCGGGATTCAGGAGTTGATTCGCGTGAAAGGAAAATGAGTATAATGAAGAGAGCCGAGCGCATGTCCGATGCTTTGAAGATGTGTAAAAGCCCGAGGGAACTTGTCAGCCATGGTTATGTGCCCGGCAGTGATGTTTCATGTGCACAGAAGTTGACGGATAAAATACAGAGAAAATTGCAAACTTGAGGGTGCAATCGGATAATACTACAATCTTAGGTGTCCAAAGTGCTTGACAAGTTTCATAATGTTAGGTGATGAAAGTGCTGGACAAGTTCCATAATGTTATTGATTCTTGTGAAGGGTCGTTCCAGAGTGCATGCTGTTGAAATGAAACTGGAAGTGCTGTTGCCATTTGATGTGAAGGGGAAGATGTGTTTGATTTCAACTACTCGATCGAATCTTATCGCCCGGGAAAAATGCAAGTATTTAAATCCTCAGGAAATCAAAACGTTGGATGCTTTAAGCCCTTGAATGCATTTTGAAGAAAATGGATTCGCCCGCATAGGCTTCAATTCAATGAATATCCGTCCTTTTATTTTTCAAAATTTTGCTCCATTTACTTCCGCTCATTTCCCACCAAGGCATCGCTTTCTGTAGAGACTGGAATATCTTGACATATGGAGCCATGTCGTCTGACTATACAAATTCGACTTCTATATAATACTCCCTGCAAACTGGAAGAAGCTTTTGAGACTTAGTCGTATTTTCTATTCTATTAGATTATTAGTTAGTGACCTTTTGATGAGAGATATGAACAAGAAGCTTCCAGAAAACTAGTGTTTTCGGAAAGAAGGCGGAATCCATCTTGTGACGAAAGCCAGGCGAACGGGACTCAAAAGACACATTTAAACACATTTACGAAGATGGGGAGCAAAGTATAAAGGGGTGGTGGGATTGACAATATTATCAAAGATGATGAGATTCTTGATATGCAGGTGGATTTTTTATTTTTATTTTGTTAACTGGAGTTAATTTGAAAAAAGATGATATGATTAGTTGTTAGTAGGTTTTATACTTATATTAAAATAATAGTTAAACTAAATAAGTAAAGTTGATTTGATGTAACAGTATGAGAGAGATGTTATGAAGTGATGGTTAGTTAAAATTGTGTGAGTGGGTGAATAGGGCAATGCTATATGTACACTCCCTTTTAATAAATTACACAAAGAAAAGTGCTATATGTACACCCCTTTTTTACACTTGAGGGGGTGTACATATAGACACCCCCGGTGAATATTGAATTATAGTAGATGTGATGTGTAAGAAATGAATGAACGATAATATTTAATTATATTGATAATATTGAGGATACTGGAGTTGAATTAGATTTTGAGTTGAATGAAATTTTGCGTGAAATTTTTTTTGTATACAAACATGCTACTATTTGAAAGTTTGGCCCAAGTACTCTGCTTATGTGCACAAAATTCTTCGTGAAGTGGAAAGGTTTACACGAATTATACTATTTCATTCCACTTTACACGAATTATACTATTTCACACGTAAAGTGCACAAAACTCTATTATTTTCTTATTCTCTTTTTTCGTTTTTCCCCTCCTAGATCCCCTTTCATCTTCCTTCTCTATCGACGATTCAGGCACTCCCCCTATCAGTGGGGCTCTCCGAGTAGCTCGTCAGCGGCGGCCCTGGGCCTTGTCGCCCGATTATTGAAGGATTGCCATTGGAATGAGATGTTTCTGCATTCGAGAAGGCAGAGCCGACCTCAGAGTAGTTTTCGTCGTGGTCTCAGGTGCTAGCTAGGATGGGGTGTGCAGGTGGCTGTCTTCCCGGTGTTCTTCTGCTATGGCGAGACCCAGCGGTTTTTTCGATTTTGGGTGGTGGATCTTTTTTTCCCTTTTCGGGGAGATGCGGGAGAAATTCCCACAATCTCAACCGTGATGCTCCTCTCCTCGTGGTGTTGGAAGGAGGGACAGGCAGCCGAGGCAAGACCGAGGTCCGGGTATTGAGCTTGGGCCTGGTTTGTTTTGGTGTCAATTGTGGGTGGTGGATGTGGGGATCTCCGGCCTAAGGCAGTAGCGTCCGGTCGGGTTTGGGTTGGGGTCGTTGGAGTCAGGCTTAGTTAGGCGTTCTTCTGCAGTTTCTGAGTCGGATTTTGGGGTTGTGGCTTGGTCCGTTTGGATGGAGGTCCTTTTGGCGTTGCCGTCGAGTAGCTTGGTGTAGTTTGTATGCCATGGGGATGATTATGTTATTATACTTAATTTTTCTCGTTGTGTTAGATTGGTTGTTTAGTGTCTATGTGTTTTGTTTTGCTTGTGTCTTTTCTCTTTCTCTCCCGTTGGGAGTGTGTGTCGTGTATTCTTCTGTTGGGAGATTTTGGGAGCTTTTGTTGATCTTTCGTCTGTTGAGAGCTTTTGTTGGTCTATTCCCCTGTTGGGAGCTTTTGGCTGTCTATTTTATTGGTGTTGTGGTAGGTTTGGTTCTAGAGCACTCGGTTGTAGATGTCTTTCCCTATTAGAGTCAGTTGGCTCTCGGTTGTATTCATGTATATTTTGTGCTATAATATTCTATACTGTTTCNAAAAAAAAAAAAAAAAAAAATTAAGTTTTTAAGTTTTACCACTTAAAAATTAATCAATACGAATTGAACAAATATTTTAGTGTGTGGAATGGGATACCAAAGATAATAAGTTAATTTTCTTGGTCAATTAAACTCAAGTTTACACAATTTTTTGTTTTCTTTGCTGAGCTGAATAGATAACTCCATTGCACTCAAGTTTATACTTTTTAATCACACCACAATAAGATAAAACATTTGAAATCATTGTATGTAAGTTTTATTTTGTAAATTTATTTAAATAGTATTTGGGTATTTTTCTTCTATACTACTTTAAAAGGAGGAGTGTTTTTGTAAAAATTCATAATGCCTAAAAAACCCTTTCTTTGACATAAATTTAATGGCAAATTAATAATATACTAATACACATCATATTTTATTTATATTTTTAATTAAAAAATGAACTACCTAAAAAACCCTTACTTTCACATGTCTTTAATGGCAAATTGGTAATATACTAATGTCACATATCTTATATCCTCCCTATATATAATTAAAAAAAACATAATTTTTCTGAATTCAACATAAGCAAATCAATGAAAATAATATATTTTTAAAAATTTTATGAACAAAAGTTGACTCAACAATATTATTAATGAATTTATGAATTGTAAATATTTAATTAAAATATTAATTAAAAATTGTAATTATATATAATATAATATAGAATATACAAATATTTGATATATAATGAGGCAAATGATCGAAAAAATTATGTACTTTATATTATGTCTTTTTTGACAAATCTACAGTTAAGAATATGTGAAAGAACAAGATAAAAGTTTTAAAAAGATATTAAATATAAGAAATAATATGAATAATAGCTAAGTTGTGACACATACTAATAAATATAAAACAAACTAATAAACAAAAAATAATATAATTAATATAACTAAATATAAACCTTCTAAAAATATACTTATCGATGTAATCAAACTGAGTTGTTAAACGCTTATTAGTTTTTTGTTCTTATTAATTTTATGTGTAAATTTGAGGTGATAGACAATAGTTATTTGTACATTTATACATGTAGATTAGAAAAAAAAAATCTTTATTATTCTAATTTTAAATAACTCTTTTATTTACTATATTAGTTTTTTTAATATAATATATAAGTATCATATTGAACAGATAAAACAAAAAATATTTTAATTATATAATATTTAATATGTGAGAAATGTAACTCAATTGGTAAATTAATAGGTAATCTTGGGATAAAATAATGAGTAATTTCTAAAAAATATATATATATATATATAGGAACTAAAAAGTTTTTTGGTCGGAACGATAGAAGTACTATAGATAAGCGCACAAATGTGCGAAAATACAAACTTGGAGGCTAGACCGAAGTCCGCCTAGAATCGCTAGCAAAGCTAGAAAGAAAACGACTCAAACACCAACACGATAACCAACGACACGGACAAAATAAAAACGACCCCAGCGGGGTGATGTGGAACGACCCCAAACGAGGTAATGTGGAACGGCCCCAAACGAGGAAACACCCGAACGCAAATGGGCTCACAGGGGCCAACGACCCAAACCAAAAACACAATTCCTAATACAAGACAACACAAACAACATAAAACCGACGAAACAACAAACACAAAAAAAAAGCAAAAAAACAAACAAATAACACCCTTCTCCAGCAAGAAGAACAGATCAAAACCAGTAGAGAACCGATCAATCCAAGAAAGTACCGAGACCGATGCCCAACTTCCGAAACTGCTGCCGAACGCCTATACAGAAGCTAAACCTAGACCCCGAGACCAACCCGAATCAACCCACCTACAACCGAGAGACCGACCAGCCAACTCCCAGCAACAGCCCCGCCATAGCTCACCTAACACCACTAGCCAAGCTAAACGGAGCTGGACCCACCCAGCCCCCAACACCAGAGAGCCGAAGTGAATGAGAAAAGGCTAATCCATCCTGCTACTCCCGCAACCCGACAGGTGACGCCGGAGCCCCGATCAGCCCGCCGACCACACGCCTCCCCATCTGACCACAGTCCGCTGACCTCTCAAGCTCGAGCCCCAAAATCCAAACCCAGAAGCCCAACCGGAAAAGGACCGATGAGCCTCCAAGAGTCGATCCAAAAAATTGATGGTGAAACAACCAATCGAAGACCGCCGGCGTTCTCAGAGGGAGACCACCCGCCTTCGACCACCACCACCGCAGACGCACAATGCCGACGACCAAAGGCAGAGCTCTCCTAGAAGCAGCTTTTGCAGCAAAATCGAAGAGCCACGTTATCGGGGGCGGCCGAGCGGTCGTGGGTGACCACTGGCCTGAGCCGCACCTTCGCCGGAGAAGGCAAAACAGCGGCGATTTGAAGGTTTCCTGCTAGGGTTTTTAAGGTGGACGGGGGCGGCGATTAGAAATAGTATTTTTCGTTGGTGTTTGTTGGTTGAAATGGAAACTAAAAAGTTCACTTGTTTAATATATTTTTAATAGAAAAATTGTAAACACAATTACTCAATAAATACTACATAAAAAATATAAAAAATCTTATATCCTCCCTATATATAATTAAAAAACATAACTTTTCTCAATTCAACATAAGCAAATCAATGAAAATAATATATTTTTAAAAATTTTATGAACAAAAGTTGACT